AAAGTGGAATACCTCTCTGAATTTTCTATTAAAATATCTATCTAGCTGCATTATTGGTTTATTTTCGGATTTTTGGTCAATGTTTCGTCATTTTTTATGACCCCCGACCTGTCAAAATTTGCAAAAAATGGGTTTGCAGAAAAGTGACCAGATCCCAGCACTGCTTAGCCCATAACTTTTGAAATTTTTACCCGATTTAAAAGTGGAATACCTCTCGAATTTGTTGTTAAAATATCTATCTAGCTGCATTATTGGTTTATTTTCGAATTTTTGGTCAATATTTTGTAGTTTTTTATGACCCCCGATTTGTTAAAATTTGCAAAAAATGGGTTTACAGAAAAGTGACCAGATCCCAGCACTGCTTATCCCAAACCTTTTGAAATTTTTACCCGATTTAAAAGTGGAATACCTCTCTGAATTTGTTATTAAAATATCTATCTAGCTGCATTATTGGTTTATTTTCGAATTTTTGGTCAATGTTTCGTCATTTTTTATGACCCCCGACCTGTCAAAATTTGCAAAAAATGGGTTTGCAGAAAAGTGACCAGATCCCAGCACTGCTTAGCCCATAACTTTTGAAATTTTTACCCGATTTAAAAGTGGAATACCTCTCTGATTTTGTTGTTAAAATATTTATCTAGCTGCATTATTGGTTTATTTTCGAATTTTTGGTCAATATTTTGTAATTTTTTATGACCCCCGACCTGTCAAAATTTGCAAAAAATGGGTTTGCAGAAAAGTAACAAGATCCCAGCACTGCTTAGCCCAAACTTTTGAAATTTTTACCCGATTTAAAAGTGGAATACCTCTCTGAATTTGTTGTTAAAATATCTATCTAGCTGCATTATTGGTTTATTTTCGAATTTGTTACGAACTGCTTTATGGTGGGCAGTGCCGCTAGCTCAGCGATCTCATTTGGGCCAAGTTCTCCCCAATTGCCCGCAGTCCGACAACATAAAATACTAACATCGATAACGGTCGTCTCACAACACTAACTTTCTGCGATCACTAACAAAATGTAAACAAACAAAAATTTAAATTCAAACATTAACTCAGGCGGCGGAAATTTTTGGACCTTTGAGTGGCCTTTGGTGTCCTGGCCATTGCGTACCCACCCTACCTAGGATGTTTCGTAAGCATTTATTAAAACATCGCCCATAATGGGTCAGTAAGTCACTCCAGGCAACTAAATTAATTCCATCTCCCCCACAGAAAAAGGTCTAGCAATTCATCATCGTTATAATGGCTTTAATTATTCAGGTGAGTATAATTATTTAACATTTCGCATCTAATTCATTTCCTCAAAATCTATTTGTTCATCTAACCTCAGAATCGCCAATCAACCGCCGTATCAGTATATTTAGCGGTCAAAGCTAAATTTAAGAACAAGGAATGGACACTCTCCGACAAAAATGTTCTGCCACCCTTGTATCGGCAGAACTCTCTGGGTTACGCGGCTTAAATTAAGGTCACCTAATCCTGAGGAGCTCCAAGGGAAAAGAAGGGACGCCGAAAGGTATGGGAGATTTACACACTCGATTCCTTCATCCTAATTAATTGCGACCCTTTTATTTTAGCAACCGTCGATCAAGGGTGAATCTTTGGAAGGACGCACAATAGACTTAACAATATAAGGTATTTAAATTCTTAAAAACTACACATTATTTTAATTGATTTTTAAATTCAGCAGGTGGTGGCTGGGCTCAGCCCACCAGAGTATTGCACCACGAGAACTTGGAGGCGTATAGGGACTTTGCTGGCCAACCTCGTGGTACCAGCCGCTCGCGAGGAAAACTGGCCACTAATTTGGGAACACCCCAACACGGAACGGACTCACCGGAGATCTCTAGCAGGTAGCGAGGATTTGGTCGTTGATGGCGTGGTTCTTCAAAAGGTTCCTCCAAACGCACGTTCTCCTCAGGGAACTTCGTAGTTGTGTCCCTCCAAAAAATGTTATAATTTTGTGTTGATCGGAAAATTGTGGCCTCTCCAGAATATTTATATTTCCATATGCTATAAGTATATATTTGCTCCACAAAAAAAATTGTATTTCCTTCGGCGAAAAATAACCGTCGAAAAAAAATGTGACTTCCTCAAAAAATGTATTCCTTGCCAAAAAAAAAAATCCCGGGGCCCTTTATTGTGGGACCCCGGTTTCCCTAAACAAAATAAACATTTATATTTTTTAAAAGAAAAATTACAAAAAAAAACTCGAACTCACTTTTTCACAAAAATTTGCACAACCACTACGAGGTTAAATTCCCACGTCTATCGTGTCCGTCTTTTCTTGTAATACTACCGGTGATCCGTATAATCACGCCATGTTCCCTACCATCTTTCCCCAGGCTCTCTCGAAGATGGGTCAACGGACATCCCCAAGGCCATCTAAGAGAGATCCCAATCGGAATATTCTACATAATAGATAAGTAGACATAAGTAGACTTGCCCCTGGCCCAAAAGAGGGCGCTGCTCTAACCATCACTACCTGTTCTAAACTATCGATAGCGGCCCTCCCGGAATCGACTCCAACTGCAACATCAACCAAGGATTTCGAGAGGTGCTACAACGAGGTTTTGCGGAACGACGAAATACTTGGTAGCTTTGGAGGAGACCAGGAATACAGGCAGTTCGTACGGCGCCCTACGCGGGGCCCACGCTTGCCGGGAAGTATACGGATCCATCTCTGTGCGCTCGTGTACTTTGTGTATCCATTTCAGGATACCTCTGGATGTCTTTGGGCGTGGTACACCGCCAGACTGCGACTCTGGACTGACGAACGTGGCACCACTCCTTGGTTCGACCGGTGAGGAAAGATGGAAGTGTCTCGCTACTTCTGCCGTGGACGCTGGTGATCCTCGCTTGGAAAGTCGCCAGCCCGGTGGTCCTCGATGCGCCAGGTTTGGCCATTTCCATCCGGACCCCTGTACCGCTCGGCCTCCGGAGGATAGCTTGGCCTGGTGCTGGCCCAATCCGCCGATATGTCCACTCTACGTTTTGGCTTCGGCGGGACCAATGGAGGTGGTGGATACGGTCTGCTTCCCTTTGGAACGGCGTCTTGCCTTTGATGCACCGAAGACTGAGCTTCCGCTGCTGGTGGCTGATGCTGCCGAGCCGTTCGTTCTCTGGCCGCGGGCGGCGGCCGTGGATCTGCTGGTCTGAGAGCCGCGTTTAAGAGCTTCATCATTTCGAGGAAGCCTTGGCGTATCTCATCTCGCAATGACTGGCTTACTCCCGCCTCCTGCCCCTTCCGGTAGGTCTCTGCCGCCTGCGCGATCGCCACGTTCGCTGCCGACTTCTCCTCCGAAGCGAGCCATGACTTGGCCGAGTTCTCGTCGCCTAGCTCCAGCAGTTGCTCGCGCTCTACTCGAGCAGCACCCTCTACGTCCGTTGGCCAAAGAGCATCTTCGTCTCCTCCAGGAGGACCCATCGACCTCATCTGGTGGTCGTGCCTGTTCCCAAAATCCCTATCTTTCGGCATTCTTCACTACAACAAATATTTCCTATCCTAATACCACAAAAAATATATAAATAACAAGAAATATCGCCACTACAAAAATTAATATTACATATGAATAAATAAATAAACAAATAAATAATGAGATAAATAATGGAACAAATAATGGAATAAATAATGAACTAAATAATTAAATAAATAATTAAATAACGAAATGACGAAATGAATAATAAGATAAATAATGGATAAATAACGAAATAAACAAATGAACCAAAGGCAAAATATATAATGCAATAAATAACAGAATAATAAATAAATTATGAACACCTAAAAAAAAAAAAATAACGACTGAAATAACTATTAATAAATAACTAGAAATCACCACTAACTATAAAACTCTTCGGGCCACCAGATAACTAATCTCGTTCAATCTTTCAGCTCCTACTGCGGGGAGATGAAATCAACGTCGCCGGTGGACTTCCGACCATAGTACGCCTACGCATCGCCAAAAATCTTCCTAATTTCCGCCCCTCTCGCAGCTGCTCGTCAACTGGTCTAGCTATCACTTTAAGTGATAGCTGCCAGTTAAGGACTCGGCTGCTTCTGGACTGCTGTTGGTCTTCCTCCTCATCTGCAGTTCCCATCGCAAATCGAGGGACTCGTGCATCGCGTGTACTTTCAACGGGCCACGAGTACCAATTAAGTTTTTCAAACCGACAGGAAATTGGAAACCCACAGACGGAAGAAAAACCCAGGAATCCGTACACCATTTACAGACAACAAAAAAAAAAAAAAAAAAAGTATAAATAAATAAATTAATGTTACAAAAAAAAAACTACAAAGAAAATGAGACTATTTATTGGCCAGCATGTTACTGGACAAGCCTCCCACCCTCCTTAGCTGATCTCTAGTTCCCGAGTCACCCTTCCCGATGCAATTGCATACGTCTACAAGCCACCGTTCAGAGTGACCGGAAACTAGGCCAGCTCGTCGCCTCAACCATTTTCAAAATTTAATTGTGCGACCAGGGAGCAATTGACCAGCACTCTGGAAAAGCCTCCCACTTCCTCAGCTTCTCCTTAGTTCGCCAGTCCCCCATCACGATGCAATTGCAACTTCCTTGCAAGCCACCGTTCCGAAGGACTGGCCAACTAAGCCTCGCGTTCTCCTCAGCTTTTCCTTAGTTCGTCAGTCCTTCATTCCGATGCAATTGCAACTTCCTTGCAAGCCACCGTTCCGAAGGACTGACCAACTAAGTCCGCTCCTCGCGAGACGTCGTCGCCTCGACCATGTATGTATTTTTTTTTTTTAAATTGGGCGCCATTATGTTACGAACTGCTTTATGGTGGGCAGTGCCGCTAGCTCAGCGATCTCATTTGGGCCAAGTTCTCCCCAATTGCCCGCAGTCCGACAACATAAAATACTATCATCGATAACGGTCGTCTCACAACACTAACTTTCTGCGATCACTAACAAAATGAAAACAAACAAAAATTTAAATTCAAACATTAACTCAGGCGGCGGAAATTTTTGGATCTTTGAGTGGCCTTTGGTGTCCTGGCCATTGCGTACCCACCCTACCTAGGATGTTTCGTAAGCATTTATTAAAACATCGCCCATAATGGGTCAGTAAGTCACTCCAGGCAACTAAATTAATTCCATCTCCCCCACAGAAAAAGGTCTAGCAATTCATCATCGTTATAATGGCTTTAATTATTCAGGTGAGTATAATTATTTAACATTTCGCATCTAATTCATTTCCTCAAAATCTGTTTGTTCATCTAACCTCAGAATCGCCAATCAACCGCCGTATCAGTATATTTAGCGGTCAAAGCTAAATTTAAGAACAAGGAATGGACACTCTCCGACAAAAATGTTCTGCCACCCTTGTATCGGCAGAACTCTCTGGGTTACGCGGCTTAAATTAAGGTCACCTAATCCTGAGGAGCTCCAAGGGAAAAGAAGGGACGCCGAAAGGTATGGGAGATTTACACACTCGATTCCTTCATCCTAATTAATTGCGACCCTTTTATTTTAGCAACCGTCGATCAAGGGTGAATCTTTGGAAGGACGCACAATAGACTTAACAATATAAGGTATTTAAATTCTTAAAAACTACACATTATTTTAATTGATTTTTAAATTCAGCAGGTGGTGGCTGGGCTCAGCCCACCAGAGTATTGCACCACGAGAACTTGGAGGCGTATAGGGACTTTGCTGGCCAACCTCGTGGTACCAGCCGCTCGCGAGGAAAACTGGCCACTAATTTGGGAACACCCCAACACGGAACGGACTCACCGGAGATCTCTAGCAGGTAGCGAGGATTTGGTCGTTGATGGCGTGGTTCTTCAAAAGGTTCCTCCAAACGCACGTTCTCCTCAGGGAACTTCGTAGTTGTGTCCCTCCAAAAAATGTTATAATTTTGTGTTGATCGGAAAATTGTGGCCTCTCCAGAATATTTATATTTCCATATGCTATAAGTATATATTTGCTCCACAAAAAAATTGTATTTCCTTCGGCGAAAAATAACCGTCGAAAAAAAATGTGACTTCCTCAAAAAATGTATTCCTTGCCAAAAAAAAAATCCCGGGGCCCTTTATTGTGGGACCCCGGTTTCCCTAAACAAAATAAACATTTATATTTTTTAAAAGAAAAATTACAAAAAAAAAACTCGAACTCACTTTTTCACAAAAATTTGCACAACCACTACGAGGTTAAATTCCCACGTCTATCGTGTCCGTCTTTTCTTGTAATACTACCGGTGATCCGTATAATCACGCCATGTTCCCTACCATCTTTCCCCAGGCTCTCTCGAAGATGGGTCAACGGACATCCCCAAGGCCATCTAAGAGAGATCCCAATCGGAATATTCTACATAATAGATAAGTAGACATAAGTAGACTTGCCCCTGGCCCAAAAGAGGGCGCTGCTCTAACCATCACTACCTGTTCTAAACTATCGATAGCGGCCCTCCCGGAATCGACTCCAACTGCAACAAATTTTTGGTCAATATTTTGTAATTTTTTATGACCCCCGACCTGTCAAAATTTCCAAAAAATGGGTTTGCAGAAAAGTGACCAGAACCCAGCACTGCTTATCCCAAACCTTTTGAAATTTTTACCCGATTTAAAAGTGGAATACCTCTCTGAATTTGCTATTAAAATATCTATCTAGCTGCATTATTGGTTTATTTTCGAATTTTTGGACAATGTTTCGTCATTTTTTATGACCCCCGACCTGTCAAAATTAGCAAAAAATGGGTTTGCAGAAAAGTGACCAGATCCCAGCACTGCTTAGCCCATAACTTTTGAAATTTTTACCCGATTTAAAAGTGGAATACCTCTCTGAATTTGTTGTTAAAATATCTATCTAGCTGCATTATTGGTTTATTTTCGAATTTTTGGTCAATATTTTGTAGTTTTTTATGACCCCCGACCTGTCAAAATTTGCAAAAAAATGGGTTTGCAGAAAAGTGACCAGATCCCAGCACTGCTTAGCCCAAACCTTTTGAAATTTTTACCCGATTTAAAAGTGGAATACCTCTCTGAATTTGTTATTCGAATATCTATCTAGCTGCATTATTGGTTTATTTTCGAATTTTTGGTCAATATTTTGTAGTTTTTTATGACCCCCGACCTGTCAAAATTTGCAAAAAATGGGTTTGCAGAAAAGCGACCAGATCCCAGCACTGCTTATCCCATAACTTTTGAAATTTTTACCCGATTTAAAAGTGGAATGCCTCTCTGAATTTGCTATTAAAATATCTATCTAGCTACATCATTGGTTTATTTTCGAATTTTTGGTCAATGTTTCGTCATTTTTTATGACCCCCGACCTGTCAAAATTTGCAAAAAATGGGTTTGCAGAAAAGTGACCAGATCCCAGCACTGCTTAGCCCATAACTTTTGAAATTTTTACCCGATTTAAAAGTGGAATACCTCTCTGAATTTGTTGTTAAAATATCTATCTAGCTGCATTATTGGTTTATTTTCGAATTTTTGGTCAATATTTTGTAATTTTTTATGACCCCCGACCTGTCAAAATTTGCAAAAAATGGGTTTGCAGAAAAGTGACCAGATCCCAGCACTGCTTAGCCCAAACTTTTGAAATTTTTACCCGATTTAAAAGTGGAATACCTCTCTGAATTTGTTGTTAAACTATCTATTTAGCTACATCATTGGTTTATTTTCGAATTTTTGGTCAATGTTTTGTAGTTTTTTATGACCCCCGACCTGTCAAAATTTGCAAAAAATGGGTTTGCAGAAAAGTGACCAGATCCCAGCACTGCTTAGCCCATAACTTTTGAAATTTTTACCCGATTTAAAAGTGGAATACCTCTCTGAATTTGTTGTTAAAATATCTATCTAGCTGCATTATTGGTTTATTTTCGAATTTTTGGTCAATGTTTTGTAGTTTTTTATGACCCCCGACCTGTCAAAATTTGCAAAAAATGGGTTTGCAGAAAAGTGACCAGATCCCAGCACTGCTTAGCCCAAACTTTTCAAATTTTTACCCGATTTAAAAGTGGAATACCTCTCTGAATTTGTTGTTAAAATATCTATCTAGCTGCATTATTGGTTTATTTTCGAATTTTTGGTCAATATTTTGTAGTTTTTTATGACCCCCGACCTGTCAAAATTTGCAAAAAATGGGTTTGCAGAAAAGTGACCAGATCCCAGCACTGCTTAGCCCAAACTTTTGAAATTTTTACTCGATTTAAAAGTGGAATACCTCTCTGAATTTGTTGTTAAAATATCAATCTAGCTGCATTATTGGTTTATTTTCGAATTTTTGGTCAATATTTTGTAGTTTTTTATGACCCCCGACCTGTCAAAATTTGCAAAAAATGGGTTTGCAGAAAAGTGACCAGATCCCAGCACTGCTTAGCCCAAACTTTTGAAATTTTTACCCGATTTAAAAGTGGAATACCTCTCTGAATTTGTTGTTAAAATATCTATCTAGCTGCATTATTGGTTTATTTTCGAATTTTTGGTCAATATTTTGTAATTTTTTATGACCCCCGACCTGTCAAAATTTGCAAAAAAATGGGTTTGCAGAAAAGTGACCAGATCCCAGCACTGCTTATCCCATAACTTTTGAAATTTTTACCCGATTTAAAAGTGGAATACCTCTGTGAATTTGTTATTAAAATATCTATCTAGCTGCATTATTGGTTTATTTTCGAATTTTTGGTCAATATTTTGTAGTTTTTTATGACCCCCGACTTGTTAAAATTTGCAAAAAATGGGTTTGCAGAAAAGTGACCAGGTCCCAGCACTGCTTATCCCAAACCTTTTGAAATTTTTACCCGATTTAAAAGTGGAATACCTCTCTGAATTTGTTGTTAAAATATCTATCTAGCTGCATTATTGGTTTATTTTCGAATTTTTGGTCAATATTTTGTAATTTTTTATGACCCCCGACCTGTCAAAATTTGCAAAAAAATGGGTTTGCAGAAAAGTGACCAGATCCCAGCACTGCTTATCCCATAACTTTTGAAATTTTTACCCGATTTAAAAGTGGAATACCTCTCTGAATTTGTTATTAAAATATCTATCTAGCTGCATTATTGGTTTATTTTCGAATTTTTGGTCAATATTTTGTAGTTTTTTATGACCCCCGACTTGTTAAAATTTGCAAAAAATGGGTTTGCAGAAAAGTGACCAGATCCCAGCACTGCTTATCCCATAACTTTTGAAATTTTTACCCGATTTAAAAGTGGAATACCTCTCTGAATTTGCTATTAAAATATCTATCTAGCTGCATCATTGGTTTATTTTCGAATTTTTGGTCAATAATTTGTAGTTTTTTATGACCCCCGACCTGTCAAAATTTGCAAAAAATGGGTTTGCAGAAAAGTGACCAGATCCCAGCACTGCTTAGCCCAAACTTTTGAAATTTTTACCCGATTTAAAAGTGGAATACCTCTCTGAATTTGTTGTTAAAATATCTATCTAGCTGCATTATTGGTTTATTTTCGAATTTTTGGTCAATATTTTGTAGTTTTTTATGACCCCCGACCTGTCAAAATTTGCAAAAAATGGGTTTGCAGAAAAGTGACCAGATCCCAGCACTGCTTAGCCCATAACTTTTGAAATTTTTACCCGATTTAAAAGTGGAATACCTCTCTGAATTTGTTATTAAAATATCTATCTAGCTGCATCATTGGTTTATTTTCGAATTTTTGGTCAATAATTTGTAGTTTTTTATGACCCCCGACCTGTCAAAATTTGCAAAAAATGGGTTTGCAGAAAAGTGACCAGATCCCAGCACTGCTTATCCCATAACTTTTGAAATTTTTACCCAATTTAAAAGTGGAATACCTCTCTGAATTTGTTATTAAAATATCTATCTAGCTGCATTATTGGTTTATTTTCGAATTTTTGGTCAATATTTTGTAGTTTTTTATGACCCCCGACCTGTCAAAATTTGCAAAAAATGGGTTTGCAGAAAAGTGACCAGATCCCAGCACTGCTTATCCCATAACTTTTGAAATTTTTACCCGATTTAAAAGTGGAATACCTCTCTGAATTTGTTATTAAAATATCTATCTAGCTGCATTATTGGTTTATTTTCGAATTTTTGGTCAATATTTTGTAGTTTTTTATGACCCCCGACCTGTCAAAATTTGCAAAAAATGGGTTTGCAGAAAAGTGACCAGATCCCAGCACTGCTTAGCCCAAACTTTTGAAATTTTTACCCGATTTAAAAGTGGAATACCTCTCTGAATTTGTTGTTAAAATATCTATCTAGCTGCATTATTGGTTTATTTTCGAATTTTTGGTCAATATTTTGTAGTTTTTTATGACCCCCGACCTGTCAAAATTTGCAAAAAATGGGTTTGCAGAAAAGTGACCAGATCCCAGCACTGCTTAGCCCAAACTTTTGAAATTTTTACCCGATTTAAAAGTGGAATACCTCTCTGAATTTGTTGTTAAAATATCTATCTAGCTGCATTATTGGTTTATTTTCGAATTTTTGGTCAATATTTTGTAGTTTTTTATGACCCCCGACCTGTCAAAATTTGCAAAAAATGGGTTTGCAGAAAAGTGACCAGATCCCAGCACTGCTTAGCCCAAACTTTTGAAATTTTTACCCGATTTAAAAGTGGAATACCTCTCTGAATTTGTTGTTAAAATATCTATCTAGCTGCATTATTGGTTTATTTTCGAATTTTTGGTCAATATTTTGTAATTTTTTATGACCCCCGACCTGTCAAAATTTGCAAAAAAAATGGGTTTGCAGAAAAGTGACCAGATCCCAGCACTTCTTATCCCATAACTTTTGAAATTTTTACCCGATTTAAAAGTGGAATGCCTCTCTGAATTTGTTATTAAAATATCTATCTAGCTACATCATTGGTTTATTTTCGAATTTTTGGTCAATGTTTCGTCATTTTTTATGACCCCCGACCTGTCAAAATTTGCA